ACACACCATCCAGCCAATCAGACTTGAGTACACTCGAGCACGATGTTGATGCTGCAGTGACCCATGAAACCAGAAGTCACATCCAGTGTGTTTGGGTTTAAATGTGCATTAAGTCGTTTTGGTATTTTTTTGCTCACAGAACAAACAGTCAGTAGAAGAAAGGGGAAGAAGAAGCTGTGAAGGACGCGGAGACAGTGATGGAGTCAGACTTATTGTGACAGCAGACGGCTGATGCAGCAGGAAACAAACAAACAAACACGTCAAGGACACACATCCATCTGACCGCCTGCAGCCTCAAAGTCACAATCAGCAGCTGAACTGAACGAACAACTCACACAAAACTCAGCGTGAATTATTGGAGCTACAATCATTTGTTTCTGTCAGGTCCCCTCTGCTTTCCTGAGATGTAAGGTGATTCTCAGCTTATTGTTTTTCTGTCTGGCTCACAACTTAGCTGTTGTGGTGAACATAGTAGATCATCTAGCAGCTAAAGAGACAGAAGTGAAGTCTCCTCCTCTGGGATGTGGGGTTACTTCAGCCTCTACTTCTGTAGGAGGATTGTTGAAATGTAAAGCAAGTGGACAGGACAAAACATCAAGGCAAAACAATCCATTCAGAATACTCCTCCAGTCTGTGGCTTTCTTCATTATCAAAATGTGTTTCCATCTCGTCAGCAGCGAGTGTTTCCTGCTGCAAGGACACCAATCTGTCACCGCATTATCCCCGGCACGTCGAGAGCAGCGTGGCCTGTCACAAAGGATTCAGCGCCTCAGCTTCGCCCACCACCGCTGCCTTTGACTCAGGGAGTGATCCTCCGATTCTCTGATCTCTGAAACATCCTCGCATCCCTGATGCTTCCTCCATGTGTCTCCTCCTCTCTCTGCTCCTCATTTACTAAATGTTATACAGAGCTAAGGGGTCTGTTAAACCACTCGCAGTATTTTTGTTGGTTTTAGAACAGGCTTCCTTACATTTTCCGGCCTCTGACGTCATATTCAAGCCCTGGAAATTTGCAACTATTTTGTAAACGACTAATCAATTTTGCAAGCAAAAATGAAAAAAAAATGTTTAAACTGGCCTCTGTGACCTATACATCAGCTACAGTTCAGTTAATCTTGTGTTGCTACAGCTCTAACAACTTAACTACCTTTAAATAATGTGTGAGTCAGGAGAGACTCGTGCCGACGTTATCAACAGGAGATAGAGAATCTTCTCTGAACTGGAATATAAGTGGATCAGTGTTGGCAGGCTTACAGCAAGCAGGAATTCATTTCTACTGCGATTATGTAACACAATCACACGTGTACCTTTTATATATGCGGCTTACTCTCAATGTAATTACAGTCTGTCTGAATCACTCTATGTAATTAAAGTTTCATCGCTCCTTATCTGCTCTGTAAGTCTTTTTTCTCATTCCAGTCAATCTCATGATGTCTCTCCAGCGACCACTGAAGACTGATGAAGTCATCTGCAAGTCACAAAATCATCTGAAACCGAAGCTGCGTTTGTCAAAGTCCGAGTCTGGACTGGAGAAGATGTTTAAAAGGGCCAGCTGAGGGAGAGCAACAGAGCCTATTAGACTAGGGATTAAAAAGGAGGTCTAGTAGGCCTTCAAAATCTTCATTTCAGTATATATCTTGCAGCCAAATCAAATTGTTTGCAGGATATTCAATTTGTTTCTTTATAATGCATGTAATACTTGACTTGTTTCCATACAGGGCTTGTATAAAGGCAATAAAGTAGTCCATGAATATGAGATAACAGATAATTACAGTCCCTCCTCATCAGTGTGGAGGTTGGTTTATGACATTCTGCTGATTACACCAACAGTCTATGGGCATATCTGTGGGTTGTCTTTTTGATTCTTCACAGTACGTTTTGTTCGTACGCCCTCTGGCGTTTCTGAGATTAATGCAGCGCACAGCGCATCGAGTATAAACGCTTTCATACGTACACAGAGCTTGCGTGCCGTCTGCGGAGGCTCGCACTATGGTGCCAAGCACGAGTAGAGACAAAGATTTAGAACTATGCTATTTGTAACAAGGCAGAACAGCCAATGTGGCTACTTTCACCGTATACATGCTGTCAACTAATTTTGGATATTAGTACAACTGAATTACAAAAAAAAGCCCTAAATGTCACATTTTCCTTCTCCTCCTTCACTGACATGTAGGCACAACAAATAATATTGTGTCTGTACTGAGATTGCAGCTACCTTTACAAGTACTACCAATACTTGTACACCAGTACTTTAAATGCTACCTCCACTCCTAGTGCCTCTATCACTATTGTAAATTTCACTTTTAATAACATTACTGTTATTGGTTGATGTATCAGTTTAACTATCAAAGTGGTGATGAGAATCTTTTGTGTCTGCGGTGGTTTGTCTGTCTGTCTGTTTGTGTATGTGTGTGTTTGTTTGTTAGTGTGTGTGTGTTTGACTGTGTCTGTTTGTCTGTTTGTGTGTGTTTGTTTGTTAGTGTTAGCGTGCGTGTTTGGTTGTGTGTCTGTTTGTCTGTTTTTTTGTTAGTGTGTCTGTTTGTTTGAAATTGTGTGTATTTGATTGTCTGTTTGTTTGTTAGTGTGCCTGCTGGTCTGAGCAGCTCTGCTGTAACGTCGGGTCAACAACCATCAGCAGAGATAAACAGACTGAGGCGACAAGAGCATGATGGGAAGAATCAGAGCGAGGCAGCATGCCGTGTCAATTCCACTTCCCATCAGCCCTCAGTGTGATGCTGGTTCTCGCAGACAGGAACTGTACTGCGGAGCAGGAGAAACGCTTTAGTATGTATAAGAGCAGAGGAAGTCTCTAAAGATGAGATACAGTAATAACACATTGTACCAGACAGTAGAGTACATGCAGTACTACGAGTACTACTACTACTATAGTTGCTGCAACCAAATCCCAACTGCTGCCAATGAAGACACATATGGATAGCTGTTGGCTCGCTGCTTAACTGTTATTGTTATTACTAAACAGCTAAAGTGCAAAAGCTTTTCTTCTTCTGGTGTTTGTGTCTGTCACCGCCTCCTTCTGGACTGGAGGAAGGAAAACCCTGGTTTGCATGTTGCCCAGAAAACAAAGACAGATTTGTGATCTAAGATTTGTGGCCGAGTATAAAAGTGTTGCACTGCCGATATGCTCATGCCAAAGTTGCTTTCTGCTCCTACTGAATGCTTATCCTTCTGTGGTATTTTTGTTGTTGTTGATATAACTACTTTTTAATGGTCTTCACCACCAGTTTACCTCCAGTTCACCACCAGTTCACCTCCAGTTTACCACCAGTTTACCACCAGTTTAACACCAGTTTACCACCAGTTCACCTCCAGTTTACCACCAGTTTACCACCAGTTTAACACCAGTTTACCACCAGTTCACCTCCAGTTTACCACCAGTTTATCACCAGTTCACCTCCAGTTCACCACCAGTTCACCATCAGTTAGAGGCCTCAAGGTCAGAAAGTCAAGTGGTCCTCACAAAGATAGAACACGCACACACACACACACACACACACACACACTCTCTGGCAAAGTACCATGTACCACTTGTACACCTGCATGGCACAAACACACACAAACGTTCCACCTGAACACACACAGAGTTGATGTATTACAACAGGATCAGACAAAGTCAAACTGTGAAGAAAATCTGTGGAGACAATTCAAATCACAGGCTTCATTGGGCTTAAAACGCAAGTGTGTGTGTGTGTGTGTGTGTGTGTGTGTTTAACCTTTAAGAACATTTTTACAAACTGAGGATATTCAGTAAGTGTTAACCAGATGCATCTCTCTTCTTATTGCATTTGGCTGAATAAAAAGGGATTCACGGAAATCTGAACAACAGTTGTGTAATAGATTCAAGGATTTATTATTCTCATTACACAATACAGGATTACACATAGTGGTAGTTGTAGCCCCCTTTACACAGAATATGAAGAAACAACAGATATTCTAAATATCTAAATATTGATATCTATCTATCTATCTATATACAGTATATATATATATATATATATATATATATATATATACTGTATATAGATATATAGTATATCAGTGACAGCTGGACTCAACATTGTTACTGATATTTTATTGACAAAACTGAATGAACTGGGTGAAACATAATCAATAAATTTCTAGAAATGAGATAATCACTAGCTGCAGCTGTGGCTTAAAGATAACGAGGCTAAAACAACTGTTGTGAACAACATCAATTTAAAAAAGAGAGAGCGAGGAAAGAGCGTGTGTGTCCTCTTTTCATCA